CACTCATACAATACTGCCTGAATAAGTTTGGAACAAGGGCATTGAGTTTCTAGTTCTCGAGGACTCATTTTCCTGGTTTTACTCGTACCCCCAACACGATAGTACAACTCATCGGCTTGAAGGTCAGAGTAACCTATCGTGTGTTGGCACGACTTCTCAGGTATAACGTCATCATTATCAGATGACAATGTTTCCTTCTGAGGGCGAACTGCCTTCTTTGGGTTTTCAAGAGTCACACGCCTCGAAACATGCCTTTGTGGGCGTGAATTCTCAGCTGGCTCCTGGACTTCAATGCGCAAATTGGTGCGCCTAGCTGCCATGATCTTTTTGTCATGTTGAGGGTGGCGGCGACTCTCAGCATGTTGAGTCGTTCGGGGCTTCTTTATCGGGCCCAAACGTTCTTGAACTGGAGCTTTGCATCCCTCATCGGGAAGTAGACCGAGACGCTCCAAAACTGACTTCTCTCTTCGGGATGATTCTGCGGGATCTCCCGGAGTAGCTACTGGAATTACTTGCGCTGAAGGCTGCAATGATTTTTCCTTAGCCTGAATCACCGCTTTAGACTTCGGCCTCCATACTTGGCGGATTAGTGGCGACTTCTTGGCCACCTCCTTCTGCAGTCTTTTGCGGGCTTCTTGGACTTGAGCCCGTGCCTGAGCTAAAAGTGCGCGGCGCTTGCGAATGCGCTCCTCAAGTGTCGAACGATTCTGTTTGACACGGATCCATTCATTTGTTGGCGGCTTGGAGGAGCTGGCATTCATTGGTTGTTGAGGCTGTTTGCCTCTCCTGTTCTTCAGATCCGCGTTATAGCGGATTCCGTCAGTGGACTCCATCGCCTTTGCGAATTGTCGCGCCAGGCGTTGATGTCGCCTCTGGCGGGCTCTCTTTGAGAGAGTCACTACGCCCTCAGCGGCGGATGAATTAGCGAGAACAGCTTTGACCTGGTTGGAGGTCGGTGGGACTTCACCCAATGCAACTTTGGCATCAATCGGGGTGAGATCTTCGTTGGCATTCTGCACTTCTTCGTACCAACGAACTTTTCTCCTGGAGGAGAGCTTCTTGGACTTGAGGGGGGAGGTGGATCCGGACGAGGATGATAGATAATCCTTGAACTTTTGTTGGTCGAATTCATACTCGACCTCCTCTTCGACCGGGATCGAGATCCGCGGCTGCGATGCAACGATCTCGGCAGCGAGATCGGTGGCTCCCATTGTGGTCGCCAGATTGTTCGCGGGGAAAATTATTTTCATTGATGTCATTGTTTTTCTTGAGCAACAGTTTATCGGTTACAAAAGATCCGGTCTTTTTATACGATCCGGTTACAACAAAATCAAAGAAAAAAGAAAAATTACAACTTTCCTTTTCTCAAACAAATCGCAAGATCCTGTTTTGCGGTCTCTTGCTTGTGTGGGTTCTTTGCCTGCGCTGGGGTTAATCCGTGGACCACCGCACGATCTTGATCCGGTCGGATCTACACGGTAAGACGGGTGTTATTTCACGAAGGAAATAACAGCCGAGGGGATTATTTCACCAAGGAAATAATAGCCTTAAGTAATCGAAATCGACCAAGCGAAATCGATACTCTTCTCGGGATCAAAAACCAAGTTTTGATCCGGAGGATAACCGTGTGGATCTCAGATCTGATCTCTCTCGAACTCCTGCCTTATTTGACGTGGACGATCGCCAAGAACCAGATCCGAAAAGTCCGAGTCTTCAAAGCTCCAAAACTCCGAAGTTCAGTTCTCAATCCAGCAGAGTTTCACCTCCAAAGTTCCAAGTCCCTCAAACAATGAGCCTAGGGGTCTATTTATAGGCTCTTCAAACCAGATCTGGGCTCTTGGATATATCGTCCGATGGTTCGTTGGTTTGTCGAATCACCGTGTCGAGCTGTGTTAAGGGACCTATAAGCAGTTTTATACGCCTACAATTGTGGCATCAAAACAATCTTCTTATCAAACCACCAAAAGACAAAAGTATTATCATGACCCTTATAAGTAGCATCCACGTCGTAGTGCCACAGTCTTCCTAAGAGCACATGACAAGTATCCATATCCACTACATCACATAAAATCTCATCCTCATAATATTTACCAAACGATAAAGGAACCTTGCAAACTTCTAGAACATGAACTTCAGGGCCCTTCTTAATCCATTCAATTTTGTAAGGAGAGGGATGATTCTACATTTTAAATTAAGTGTCTTTACCAAAGCCTTGGAGACCACATTCTCGCTACTGCCAGTGTCAATAATCATGTTGCATACTTTACATCTAATAGTTCATCGGGTTCAGAATATCTTGTGGCGTTGCAAATCATCTTGCATCTTTGGGGCTAGCAAAAGGCATTGAACAATACAAGCTACATCTTCTCTTTCGTCTCCCACTTCAATCTCAGCTCCTTCATAGAGGACAATGCAAAATTCAGGTGTGGGGGTGGGAATTAGTTATTTTTTCTTCTTTATTTTACCTTTTTAGTTGCATTTTTGCATTTTTGTCATTTTTTCTTTTTCTTAAAAAAATTATAAAAATATTGTCACTTGTCAAATTAATAGAGCAAAGTAATAATTGATTCATTTGATAAAGTTTAAATTTTTCTAATCCCTAGTCTGTTATGTACTCAAGTTTACCTTTTATAATAACTCTAAATTAATTTCCTAAGAAATAATTTTCAAAGTAAGCCTTAATTAGAGTTTTAATAAAATAATAAAATTTTTGCATACTTAACTTAGAGTTGAAAATAATTTTTCAAGTTGTCTTGATTTACATATTTTTCAGAATATATACATGTAAAAACTAACCTTACAAAAGAAGAGTGTGAAAAATGGGCACAAAAAAAAGAAATAAAAACTCTTGAATTCAAGGTGATTCTATCTTATAAAGTCTAAGTTGACCGAGTAATTAAGCCCAAGAAGTATTTCCATACTTAATGACCTATGCCCAATTTGGTCGGGATCCATTGGCCCAAAACTCGTTAAATAGTCACTTAGAAAGCCTGTTAAAGTAGAAAAAAATCACCAATGAAGAAAGAGTTGAAAAAAAATACTAACAAATGTTATATATATATATAGCATGTTCTTTTCAAAACTTTTAAATTAAATTTCTAAGTTTAGCTTGGTTTTGTATTGCTATAATGAGAAAATTTTCTAGGAAATTCACTCTGGAGTTATATATAAAAACGTTTTCTTGAGTAGTAACTAGATTCAATTAGATTGTCTAAATTTATCAAGTAAATTTAGTTATTTATTGAATTTTTTAATTTGGCAAGTTGACCGAATTTTGTGGGTATATTCACTGCAAACTCTCACGAGACTACAACTCATCTACTAGGGTAACATAGGGGTTTAAAGGTTTGTTGTATGTGCTAATTACAACCACGATTACTGCAAAAGTGAGTTAGGATTTTTCTTTTTCTTTCTTTGCTAGAGGACTAGCAAAACTTTAGTGTGGGGGTATTTGATAATCATATTTTTATTATATTTTTATTCTCTCATTATCTATTTTTAATGAATAAATATAGCACTAATAATTATTTTTATCTTTAATTGTAGGTTAACCAAGAATAAAACTCAAAATCTCTTCTCTCAACAAAAACCCATGAATTAAATGAAGAACAAAAGCAAGAGCCAAAAAGCCCAAGCCCATAATCAAGCCGAGTAGCTTGTAGAAGACGGAGAAAATAAAAAAATCCAATATGAAAAGAAAATGTATTCAAGATGGTTGGTCGTAAAGAAACGACGATATCTCTCAATCCGGAAGGCGGAATTTAACATATAATATATAAAAATTACCTATCCTAATGAGATGAAGCCATTTGTAAAGTCAGATTTTGAAAATAGTGGGCATCGATAGCAGCATCGATGGCAGCATCGATGCCTGTATTGATGCCAACGTCCGTTTGTTACGAATCTAAGGCTGAAATTTAATGTTTTTGGATAAGATTTTGATCCAATGTCTAACATTCATTGATGTTTAGTATAAATAGGGCTAGAGTGTGAGGGGTTAGAGGTGTAAAAAATTTTGTAACTCCATTTGGAGAGGAGGGTTACTCTTAATTGAGAAGACCTTCTAATTTTATAACTTTTTGTTACAATCAATAAAAGTATTTTTTCACCTCCTCATATTTTTCTTTTCTTCTCTTTGTTTGATGATGAAGATAAAGATGGGATGAAGATGAAGATCAAGAGTGATGTTTGCTTTCATCTTGAGGCTAGAACCTTCTTAGGTAGTAAATTTCCTCTTTGTTAATATTTTTATCTTTTTATTTTCTTGCTTATATTGCCAAGAGGCTAGAACCCTCTTGCCTTAGATTTATTTTATGCTTATAGAGTAGATTTATTTCATGCTTATAGAGTAGATTTATTTTCTCGCATTTAATTCTTACAATTTATTTTGTAGTTTAGTTTTTGCAATTTATTTTGTAGTTAGATTTTATTTTCTTATACTATTCACCTTAAGGCTAAAACACTCTTGGGATTAGTTTTATTTTTCTTTATTTTCATATTCTTTGACTCGCCTTAGGGCTAGAACCCTCACTACACCACCTAAAATAATCTATAGCGGCCAAAAAACACTGGTATTATTTCATAGTGTTTTAATCAGCACTGTGTCAGAACCCGCTATAGTAGGTCTGTGGCTTTACATAACGCTTCCCCAAACGCTATCAAAAATGTTCCAACCATAGCATTTTTATGTAGTTATAAAAGGGTATTCAATAGCGTTTCTGTATTGCTCTGACGAATATCTTTCATAGCGGTTAAAAAATGCTATTAGTTAGTTTTCATTCATAGCATTTCAACGCTGCTATTGTCTTACATTTGATAGCGTTTGAGTTACTACAATGACGTTTCAGCGAATGCTATCTTTCTTCTTTTAATAGCATTTCAACAATTGTTTTCACTTCTTATAGTTTTTCAGTTGTGCCTATAAACCTTTGAGGTTGAACTAGAAATAGCTTCCAATTATGACAACCATAAAAGCAAATATGTTATTTAAAGGTTCAAACTGATACATAACCAAGTTGTAGCATACAAGAAGAGTCAACACAAATATGCCAAAAACAAATACTAGTCTTTGGATAATCCAACATGGAGTATAAGAAATTAACCATAGTATATAGAACAACAAAAACTAACTTTGCTGCATTACATATGACTTGGGAGACTCATCTTCTTCAGCAATTGAGTACTAGTACTGCTGCAAAAACATAAATTAACAACACCAATAATGAGATCCTAGAGCCGTGAATATATGGACACAAAACAGAAAACAATAGCACCAATAATTAGAAATCCTAGAGCCATGAAGATCTGGACTAAAAATAGAAATCAACAATCAAAATATAAACAACAGTCCCATCTGTTTTATTTAATTAGGGGAACTGTAACAAACAATTATTAATAATTCCACATCAAGAGCAGTATGTAATAAAAAGTCATGCATGAGGAAGTTTTGGCACTTTCTAGACCACAACAGCATTTAAAGTAGTCACCAATTATGTATAACTTACCAGCTTTTCAAAGCATAACAACTTTTATCGACAAATAGGTGATGTTTTTATGGAAGATATATGAAGATATTTGCTAATGAGATTCACGAAGCATTACCAGCTAAACATATTTGGTGTTGTCGTAGTTGGTTCGATACCAAGATGGACATCTTTATATAGGACAGCGTCGAAGTAACCCGCAAATCCTGCAGAAAACAAAATTTTTATTGATATCATTAGCACTAACATAATGAGGACATTTCATGCTAACTACATATCATAGATCACGCTATAGAGCTGGTAAGTTTCGCCATTTTCTAGTTGGGTCATGTTGAGATGACCCAATTGTATAAGAATTGAACCTAACCACCTTAATAAATGAGTTGATAACAGAAATAATTATGTTAATCAACCAATGTAACCCATTTATCAGGTCAATATAATATTTTCTTTCCTTTTCCCCCTTCAAATGCTAAATTTTCCAGGATAAAAACTTTAGCTAAGGTTATTATACGCAAAACCACTAGACATTTCTACTTCTCGTATTAAGGTTTTCAAATAAAGCTAAATTAAGGTTATTATACGCAAAACCACTAGACATTTCTACTTCTCGTATTAAGGTTTTCAAATAAAGCTAAATTGGTATAATTATTCTTGATTTTGCTAGACATTTCTACTTCTCGTATTAAGGTTTTCAAATAAAGCTAAATTGGTATAATTATTCTTGATTTTGCAAAAACAATTTGCAGAAACAAAGAAACCTATGCAAATTGAGTGATATGTACTTTGATATTAGAGCCAAGTAAATAAATGATTTAAAAATAACAATGTTTCTTAGCAAGCATACCGTGCACCAAAGCTGATCCAGTATCTGCAGGTATTTCAAAATGCAACTTCTTGTATCTTTGATTGCTCTTATTATCAGAATATTCTGGGTGGGTAAATGTGAATACCTAATCATAATCCACAGTAATCAAAATATAAATATCATTCAGCAAACACAAAACCAAAATGAATCAAGTAACTGAAAGTATGATAATATATAATTAAAAAAATTGTTGTTGAATTATTGAAACAAGAGGACTCAACAAAAATATGCAAACAATAATCCATATAAAGGCAGACACTCACAGATTTAGAAGGAGCAAGCCTGGCTACCCTATACAATTTCACAACATAAGCTGTTTCAAAGTGTGCAAGGTCTTTATGTGATTTTACCTGTAAAAGCAATCAACAATTAAATAGGTAGACTTACATAACATGTAAAATAAAAAAAAGTTCTGCATTTATAGAAGGCATACATTATTGTATAGCTTTAAAGCAGTTACTGGTTGGATAAAACTGGTATATCTGAAGGAAGATATATAATCTGCTTATCAGTTTCATCAATGAAATACAATCTAATCTCAAAATTTGTAACTAAAATTGCTGGACTTTAGAAGGCTAGGACGTACGATGAAGGAATAGATATGTCGTCTGGCTTCAGAAACCTTTGTGCTCTGTCAAGACACTCTAGGGATAGCTCATTATCACCAAAGGAGCCCAATAACTCGCTAACCTATGCACAATATAAGTCATACATGTGACAAAAGTAACTATAAATCAAACAACTGGATATAATACAGATCTGGTAGGTAGCCTTACCAATATATCAGCCTTCTCTGGGGCATCCCAACAACGCATGTCACTAGAAATTATAGTAACCATATTATCCCATCCTTCCATCCTGATCAAACTCTGTCATTAAGAAACTATCATGTGCTTTTCTCAATATTAGCTAAATCAGCAATTAGAACTTACATGGAGCGTCACCACTGCATTCAGATTTTTTTCTACGGCATAAACCTTCAGTTTTCTGCCGGTCTCTTCAGCAGCCTGCAATAGCAGCCATATCAAGTGAGAAAAGTAAAAAAAGAAGACAAGATATAGTGAAATTAAATCATGTATCCATCAAATCAAGCCTTTAAGTAAAGTTTTTCACGTCATACGCATTTCAAGGTGATATTTATTTGCTAAGAGCTCCATTTCATCGTATTATACTATATTTCACTAGTTACTATATTACACAGAGGAAAGCTAAAGACAGATACACTGTTAAAAAATGAGGCATCCTAGACGGAAAATTCCGTCTAGGATACTCAGAATTCCGTCTAGGATGCGTATTCTAGACGGAATTCCGTCTAGAATACGCGTCTAGTTTATTTCCGTCTAGTATGTAGTATTCTAGACGGAAATTCCGTCTAGAATACATCCTAGACGGAATATTCTAGACGGAATTCAAAACCGTCTAGAATACATCCTAGACGGATTATTCTAGACGGAAATTCCGTCTAGAATAATTTATCCTAGACGGAAAAAAATTCCGTCTAGGATGGGTATCCTAGACGAAAATTTCCGTCTAGAATAATCATCCTAGACGGAAATTTCCCCGCAAAATGTTTTTTAATTTTTTAAAAAGAAAACAAAGTATCCTAGACGGATTTTGAGCATCCTAGACGGAATTTCCGTCTAGGATGCTATGCTACAGTCCCCGCAAAATGTTTTTTAATTTTTTAAAAAGAAAACAAAGTATCCTAGACGGATTTTGAGCATCCTAGACGGAATTTCCGTCTAGGATGCTATGCTATTGTTTACAAACTTTTACAGATACATAAATTATCAGCCAAAGCTCGGTATTGAATGGATGCGATACATAAATTGTTGACATATTTATTTACAATTGAAACGAAAGGATATATATTTACAATCTTTTTACATTGTTCTATCCTCTCATCCCCTGCTTGTGATATCCGATGATAATCTGGCTTATTTCTAAGAACCTGCAAGTTCACGCAACATAAGTATCACAGTTCTACACAATAGACATAAGTACATAATGAATTAGTTAGACAGAATGAATACAAAATTATCCAACTTGTTCCTCATTGAAAAGCATATACTAAGATAGTAAGCATGCCTCATAACAATGCCATTGCTTGTAGCCTTGTAGGTACCTTAACTAGGAAATTATTTCGGTTAATTCTTATGCAAACCCTTTTCAACATAAAAAATCCCAATCTGAATCAATAACAGGAAAACATAGATACTAATGATGATTTCTCTTTTTTCTATTGTCAAACAATCAAGTCCTTTGAGTAATTAATATTAGACCTAAAGCTAAAAAAAACTAAACAATACAATTGACACACCTTGAGGAGTTAGGTCTGAATCAATAGTGAGAACGAACCCGCGAGCTTCGGATCAATGACGAGGCATTTCTTTTCACGAACCTAAACATTATAACAAAATAATCTAAGTAAAAATTTAAAAAATACAGAGAATTCAAGAGAGAGAGAGAGAGAGGGAGAGAGAGAGGATTAAAAAAACAGAGAATTCAATTATTATTTAGAAGTTAAAGTATCACCATGCCCGCCTTCAGTTCACGCTTAAGTTCACCAAGCTCCTTGAACTTTGCACAATAATTTGCCAAGAACAAACTCCAAGTCTATTATTGATTTACTGATTTAAACTTGAACCGCCTTTAGTTTTGCAAAATTAAAAGACTGATTATTTCGTCCTCCTCATTGAAAGACACCAACATATGCACACATATATATAGAGAAAGGACAATAAATAAACCAAATATATAAAAATAGAACCAACATATGCACACATATTTCTAATTGACCCCCTAGCTACATTATGCACATATTTGCCCCTAAAATTATAATAACACAAAACTTACAATTCTACAAAAGAAGACAATGTCATACACTTAAATTGACGAGAATCATGTCACTAACCAAGCCACAGGCACAAATCCAAGCCCCTGATTCGAAAATTCACATGAGCTTCTTCACAAAATCAAAAAATAGTTTCCCATATAAAATTTCATAATAATAATAACAATCCTTTAAAAATACGTCCAAAGCTTTAATTTAAGTACCCGACTCGAGCCTGAGCTACTAGACTTCCTAACCCTCGCAATGGAAAGAACCACAGCAACCACAAAATGATTAATCACCCCCAAAATCCGACTTCACAATCCCAATCACCTCGTTCCCCAGCGACAAATCCTGCTTCACCGCGAAGTTCACATGCATCAGCACCGTCCCCTCCACCTCCCTCACAATCCTCCCCTGCCCCTTCAACCCCTCGAAAACCCTAAAATCCCCTTCACAATCTCCCTCCTGCTCACCCTCTTCGACGCCAAAACCAGCAACTGGTACACCAACGCCGGCAAATCCTGGATCTCAACCTTTCCCATCCCATCAAACACTTCGTCAACCAATTCCAAAACCCTAGCGCTGGGAACCCCATGGAAGTCCTTAATCAACGGCACGATCTTCAAAAGGATCGCCCTCGACCAGTCGATCGATCGAATCTCATCGATTACGAGATCGGCCGTGCTTTGGTTTACAGGGTGGGGGAGGAGGTCGAGGGATTTGGCGTCGGGATCTGAGAGGATCGAGTCGAGCACCGGAGGGAGGTCAGATTTGGGGAGGGATTTGAGGTGGGGTGAGAATAGGAGGCGGATTTTGGGATAAAATTTTCCATTTTGGGGGGGAAGGGGGAGGGCGGTTAATTTTTTTGACGGGTTAAATTTTTTTAAATGGGCGGTTATTCTAGACGGAAATTTCCGTCTAGGATGAGTAATCCTAGACGGAAATTTCCGTCTAGGATGAGTATCCTAGACGGAAATTTCCGTCTAGAATACCTGGTTATTTTTAAAAAAATAAAAAATAAAAAAACCGTCTAGGATACTATTCTAGACGGAAATTTCCGTCTAGAATGCTTTATTCTAGACGGAAAATTTCCGTCTAGTTTAATACATTCTAGACGGAAAAAATTCCGTCTAGAATATTCCGTCCAGAATACGTGATTTTCTACTAGTGATATAAACATATAGAGAGGAATAGAAACCTGCAGTGATGCCCTGACAAAGGGCCCTCTTCCAGCTCCAACAACCATCAACACCTTTCTTGCAAAAGGGAAGGAAACTTGTCAACTGCTAGGAATACATAGGAAGCTAGGAATTGTAAATGTTACAGTCGACTGTAACTAATACAGATAAACAGTATGAATAAGAATGTATACGGTAATATTGCCATTAAACACTTGATCCCTGTCTTACCGTCCTCGATGTTGAAGCTTCTTCATCTGGAACCCTATCAAGCAAAGCTTTACTAACTGCCCGCTGATACTGCACAAGTAAATCATGGGACATAACTATTGATTGCAAGCTAATACTGACTGCAAGTAAACTATAATATAAGAAAATAATGATTTAAAACATAAAATTAATATTTAACAGCAGGACTGAGATATGAATTTTCCATGATGTCTAACATATGCCTAAATCCTAAGAATAAGCAACATACTGTATGCTATAAATTGAATATAAGCACATTATCACCCAAGAAAGGTCCGTCCAGATTGCATATTGAAAATAATAAATACACTTTAGCATCAGCAGAGACCACAAAGAATTAGCAAACTTCTGTGACCGCATTGTTCCAGAAGCAGGAAAAAACTTTATATATAAGCATAACTATAAACTATATACATTTTTGGTAGCTGTTCACTCCTGTGCCAATTTTCTTCCTACTCTTTTAGGGTGAGATTCGGTGGCAGGTATCGCTAAAGTTGACCGACCATGACAGAATGCAAGCACACATCATATGTACTAAGGCTCGGGAACTTATAATAATAGCATGGAAACAAACCTGTGTATACTTCATTGTGCCTTTCTCGAATGTCTCATAAGTTTGAGCCTCCAAATTATCCATGAGAGGCTATGAAAAGAAACAATATGTAAACAATATCATTACACTTGCAGCTATCAGTTTGAAATAGATCCTGTTGATATTGAAGACGAAAAAGGAAAACATAACAAATACATTTACCTGCAATGGGGACTGCAGAAAATCCCTATAACCAAGCTGCAAAGAAATATGCACGATAACTCAAACCACTATGTTACACAAAAGTTACAAGAAAATTACAAGAGGCCTTGCTTTTTAATATAAAGGCATAATCATCAGAGAAAAGCAACACGCGCACGCACACAAAAGATACGATATGGCCTTACCTTTCAATGTAGAGGATAAAAGGCAGCAGCGCCGGAGGAGTGGCGAGCAAAGCCAGCCGGAAAACAGCTGCAAAAGGAGACCAAAATAACCAAACACTGAGGGCCACATTGAAAGGGCAAGCGTGCCTAGATCCAGGACTACCAAACTTTATCCTTCTATATTAGTAAATAATCAAATCCTAAGTCGAGAAAAAAGGTAAAAGCACTTACATAATCATATTAAAACATCCCTAAAAGCACCCGCCTTGCTTAAAACAATCAAAGCATTGCTTTTTTCTGAGGACAACAGTACAACTAGTTGATCTCAGAAATAAAAAAGGGACGCAACTTGACCACAAAGAGAAGACTTTACAGAAAAACTCACGCTGGACTCACAAATGTATGCCTTGATGTGAAAAAGGTTTAATTTGGAAAGCTCACAAGGTACATAGGCCAAAATATTTCACACTAATGATACAAGTATTACCATTGAATAATTTGAGCAAAAAATTAAAAAATTAGGAGATTACCAGTAAAAGAATGGCTGACCAGCATCACTTTCACACCATTTATCGTAGTACATGTGCAGATTATGCCCATAGCGATGCCTTGGATCAATCTATTAGAAACAATTTATAAAATTAGTTAAATCACCAGTTCAATATTTGAATAAAAAAAATTTAAAGACTATCACTGAAATTAAAAAAAGATAATTTTTTTTCTATTCAAAGAAACTTACAGCTTCAATCCAGTGCTGAAACGCGATCTTCAGGGCTTTGGAATCTTTTGACAAACCCAGTCCAACCTACAACAGGCAAATAATTAATCATTTACATTTAAAATAATTACTTGCATAAAAAAATTGAGACGAAAAATAAGAATAAAAAAGAAAAAAGAACCTTGGAAGCATTCAGACTAATACGATTCCAACTCGAAACAGCCGATTCCGGCTTCAAGAAATTGAAGAAAGAAACCGTACTTAGATTAAGCCTAGCAAAATCCAACACTTGCCACCTATTTCCATAATCAACAAAAAAGGGGGGAAATACCCATAATTAGCCACATATTTACAAAGAAAAAAATAAAAATAAAAAAAAAATAAAAATCCGATCTTTAACTTACCAGAGCTCCTCCACGACCACAGCGGAGTCTGCCTACCTGCGCTGGGTTTGATAACTCCTGTAGACTTTCTGAACCCTATTCGCCGCCGCCACAGATTCACATCGTTTATCAACCGGAGACTCTGTAATCTTGGACGATTCCATCTCGAGATCCCTAGGAGGAGGGCGGCGATGGTTTTGGCGACGAGAGAGGGAGTGAGGGCGGCCCTGGTTTTGGCAACGAGACAAGGAGGGAGGCGGCGAGAGAGCTCGAACGAGGATGAGAGGAGGAGAGCGGCGCTGCTGGCTAGTTTTGGCGAGAGAGAATGAGGGAGGGAACGAATTGCAAAAATCTAAGGGAGAGGGATCGAAATAATTTAGGGGGAATAAAATTTAGGGCTAGCTGCGGGGGCGGGCCACTTGAGGGTTTAGTTTAGTTTGAATGCCCCTGTTTTAATTTTCAGTCTCCCGTTTAAGTTTTCAACGCGTCAGGAAAAAAAAATTGTGATCAATATAACGTTTAAAATTTTTCACAAGCTATCAAAAAATAAGGCACATATTATCTATAGCACTTACAACATAAACGGTATCATTCAACGCTATAAAAAAACAGTTTTGTTGTAGTGCCTCTAGGGAATTGTCCTTTCTTTTGAGGTGGGTTCAATTCTAGATTCCTCATATCTTTAATTGAACCCTCGTTCTTTTCTTTCTTTATTTTTTCCTTTTCTTTTATTTTCTTGATTTTTATTTCCTTCATTTTTTTTTTCTTTCCTTGTGATTTTATTTATTCTTTATCTATCACTCTCAATATCATTTTTTACACACAATCATTCACATTCTCTCCATCTCTCCACAGTCACATCTATCATCATTCCTAATTGTTACGCACACAACATACGAACCGATTCTAGTAATTTCCTACAAACACCTTCCTCGTGGGATCGATAACTTTTTATACTATAACTTGATTAATTGTACACTTGCAATTTTTGATATATGTTTATGCCGCATCAACAACCAACTGATTGGCCTATGTCATTAGTAGAAGGTTTTAAAGTTTGTGGATCTAAATGTTTTTACAAGATGTAAGCATTTTTTGCAAGATATAGTCAATGAGAGTTGATCGATATGCTTTTAAATTACCATCGATCTAACTAGCATAAAACTCAAAGAATGCTTGTTTTCATCTAGTGGCAGGAACTATAAAAGAAGAACCCCATACCTCAGCATAGGAGGAATATCCAAAACTCAATCTTGCCTTGCAAACCTGAAGCAATCTTTGACGAATCGAGATAATTCAAGGGTGCCTCTTGACTCAAGCCAAACTAATGTGCCACTCTATTAGGGAGGTATTGCTCAACAATAATAAGCTTATCTCCCGATCTATAGGGATAACCACCCTTGACGAATGATCACTAAGAATTCTACAGCCATCGTATCTCGTAATAGAAATACCCCTTATGCGTCACTCTTATCAGTGAAAACATGAATGGGTCTAGCAAACATGTCATAAGGACCTGAAATAGTTGAGCTACAAAATTGCCGAGAAGCATAAGCACTCAATCTGTCGACCGGGGTTCCCCTATCTCAGTTAAAAATGGCAACTTCATTGTTATTCTCTCCGGAGTTGTCTTGCTAAAGCCTTCTGGTGTACATGGCCATCCACCCAAAAATATAGTGAAAAGGAATGATACCCTTATACTGATGCTGGTTCGGAGAGGTGGTCAATTCTTTCATAGTTCAATAAATGTAAGCTAACACCGGAGGAGCAAGTGATGCCCTTACTCTTCTAGCCATTCGATCAGCCATCATGAGGGTTTCTGTACCCTTCCTTCATGGAAGGACAAAATAGCAAAGCCAAAGACTTAAACAAGTCAACCACGAAGTCTTCTTCTCTGCTTACCCCATGGAAAGCAATTAGCAGTGAATAGGTGGGCCTCACAATTGCTTCAGGATTCGAGCTACCATCTCCAAAAGGATCTTTTGGATCTGCAACTTTTGTGGACCGGGACCCATAAACAAAATTTTCAACCCAGACCTCGTAACATACATACTTCCCTTGATTTTCCTTTAAAGGTCTGTGGTACTTACGAAACATACTTCAAAATTCGGCTGAACTATGATAAGACCTTTCTTTGGTATACCCAAATAAGTCTAGCTCATTGGGAACAAATTCGTCGTAAAAGTCCATATAGATCGGCAAACTGCCATGTAAAACACAATAAATTTTCGTCCATCTTCAAGTCGGTCGACTGATCAAAATAACCGATCAGTCGACCGGTTGGTCTTCGAGTCGACCAAATGGTCATCAGCGAGCTGAGTCCGGGCGGGTCGGCTGTGTCGTGGTGTATACTATATGATATATATATATATATATATATATATATAGTATATATATATATATTAGAGAGCAGAGAGACGAGAGAAACGGGAGCGTGGCTGGCGCAGCGTAGGAAATTTCCTACGCTGCAAGTGTATGGCACATGTGAGCCCCCTACTAGTCACATCGGTGCTGTGGTCTCACATGTCATACACTTGCAGCGCCAGGGAAATTTCCTACGCTGCCAGGCTCACCTCCCGTTTCTCATATATATATAGTATATATGATATATATATATATATATATATATATATATATATATATATATATATATATATATATATATATATATATATATTAAATTCCGAATTCTTTCTCTCTCTCCTATTTCATCTCTCATGTTGCAGCAACCACCCACCTGAGAACCCTAATTTCTCAACTTCGTGTTCTAGAGATTTTTTTGTGAAGCAAAAATCTAGAGGAAGGCGAGGCCTATAACTTTTGTGAAGAATGATCAAGTTTTACTCACGTTTGAGGGATCAAAATTTCTTCTCAAGGCAAGATCATCTTCTCCAAACCCATCCCCTTTTTCTTAATTTTTGTTAGATTAAAATCTATTAAATGAGTAGAGATCACTCCTTTAAATTTGATGATTAAAAGATCTAAAAACTTCTAATTAAAAGTTAATAAAAATGAATTCTTTAATTAGGGTTAAAGATTTGAAATAAATCTAATATTAGATATTTTTCTATAATCATTTCAGGATGGATTTACAACCATAATCATGTTTAGGATTATTAGATCCCATCAAATTCATATTTGTGGTTTTATGTATCAGAGTAAACCCTAACTACCCTAATTAAGAATTAAAACATGTGTTACTTATAAAAAATTTTAACTTTTTGTGAATTTTTGAGAAATCTGTCAATTTCGATACATCATCGGGTCAGTCGACTGACCAGGTCAGTCGCTCGAATTGGTCGTCAGGGACTGGGATTCCTCTTTGTCGGTTGACTGATATATGTATCGGTAGACAAAATTGGTTTTCAGGAATTGGGGATTCTCTCAGGTCGGTCGATTGACATATGTATCGGTCTGTTAGACCCTAGAGGGGGGTGATTAGGGTCTTATGCTAATCTAATCCGATTAAATACCAATTAAAATATATTAACAAGTTATCCTAGCAAGTATGAAATACAACAATGTATATGAGCTGGGATAAGCAATATGAACAATGAGATATATCCTATATGATAGAGATATATGCAAGGATATATAAACAACACAAGGGTAAATAATCTAAACAAGATAGTGAATGAAATAAATGAGTAATGCACAATTGGCGATATAAGATAAATGCAAAAACAAATACGCCAAAGACAAAATCAAATAAGCAATATGATCACGGAGTTCGGACCTTCCGTCCTACGTCTCCGCTCCCCACTCCCGGGGAGAAATCCACTATCACAACCGGGTTTTCTACGCTCACCCGAATAACGTTTACAACCACACTATGTCGGTTTTCAACGCTCACCGAACAACGTTCACTCCTCATACTCGGTTTTCTAGTTCACCGAAAACTTCACAACACACTCGGTTTTCTAGCTCACCGAAAACCTTACAATCTCACAATGTAACAAATATAAATTTGTTCTCTACAATAGAAGAGAACTCAATTAAGCACAACTCAATGTTACAATCTCTCACAACCCTAATATACTATGTATGCAAATACAATAAGCTCAAAGTGGGTGTGTGTAACAATGTGTGAAATCAAAATCAAACTAAACTCAAATATAAAATCTAGCTTAAGAACAATGATAATCAAACAAGTATATAAATGTAAAGCTAGAGTTTGAGTTTAGAAAACTTCTCAATTTGATAACAAGAGATGGAGGGATGATAGTTGGAAGCTCAAACTTCAATAGATAATCTCCTCAAGCTCTTGTGGAATTTGATTCACAAAATCGAAACACTCAAATGCTTAAAAGCTTATAAACACACTTTAAACAAACTTAAACCCTTGATTAAAACTTTCTTAAACTTGTTTTAAAACTCTCTTAGTTGGTTTGAAAAGACATCAGAGCGGTCGACCGGATCGGTCGACCGAAAACTGATACATGAAAAACTATTTTTCTGATTTTAAAACCCTGTTTAAAAATATCAAATAAATTCCAAAAAATATAAAACTTTGGGAAATGATTGTAGACATGATAATAAACATGAAAATATGAGATACTTGAATTTTGATGTTTTGACATAAACCAACTTTTGAAACTTTGTGAAATGTTTTTATAGACTTAGTAAAACATGTATAAACTGATATTGAAGTCTACAAACTAAGAATATAATATTTTCACAAAATTGCATATTCTATGCAATGTTTTGAAAAACACAATAGAAAATATGAAATATATAATTTCATATATATAATCATAAAAACTCAACACATGTATGTATATATATAACTATATATATGCATAGAAACCAAAACTTATGTATATATATAACTATATATATATGTGAAGAAACCAATAAATGTGTGTGTATAATATATTAAGCTTAGAGTATCTAACACACATAATATAAAATCTAAACTAAATATACCCAAGCTAGATCTTGATCTTCATTGAACTCAACTTGGTACACGTTGCGGATGAAGCTAAACTTGATCTTTAACTTTGAATTGTACGTTGCTTCACCCCGACATTCCGCCAACCTCCTTTAGATATGATCGTTGAAGTTCTATTCTATCCATCCTCCAACTCGTTGTTGCCTAGAATAAATACGAAAACACAAACACTAGACAAACAACATTAGTTGTAAATTATTTGTTAAACATCATCAAAACAAGAAGGCCAACACGGTCGACCAATTGAGACTTGTTATTTGTTCATGCTTATGCATGTTCACGTTCGGTTGACTAATGGGATATCAGTCGACTGATCGAGTGTCAGTCAACTGATTCCTAGGGGCAGTCGACTGCCTTAGTACTGTTGTCTTTGCGAATGATGATCTTCTGTAGACGGTAAAAAATACCTCCGTGGACTAGCAAGAAATCCGCCTGTAAGGGGAAATCGCCCAAAGCCGCGCGAATTCACCCTTTAT